CCGTAGATAATAATAGTTTTTCTTGTAGTGAGAGTTCCCTTAAGATACTTCATAATCGTTTTCATAGCTTTCAAGTGTGATTCCTTAGGAGTAGATTGGAATCTAGCACATAAGATGACTCAAATTTCAAAATTCCTTGACCAAAACCTACCAAGATATCTAAAACTCAACCTTTACTCAATTTGATTTAACAAATAATAGTATATTACAAGGTTTATTACCAAAGTATCATAATATCAAAGTTAATGCAGTGAAACATTCACTTGTAATCAAGGTTGATTTTATATTACCAAATTCTTAATCAGTTTCAATTACAAGAATAATATCCAAAGTATATACAGCATGCAATTGAAATATCATATCTCACAAATATTTGAATTCTTTAATCAAGAAATTATCAAGATTCTTAAAGAGATATGGGTAAGAAGATTAAAAACACAAAAATTTATACTAGTTCAGTCATCCACTTGTCCTACATCTAGTTTTCTCTAATTTAGCACCCCACTAAATAAGAGATCATTCACACAATATTACAAGAATTAAAACAAACATCAATCTTGACACCACAAGATTGAAAACACCCAAAATTTCTGTACCCCATAAAAATTACTTGAGAAATACCACTCAAGATTTCAAAATCTCTCGTTGAGACACCCTATCCCAAGAGATACACCATTCAAAAATGAAAACACAAGTTTAAAGATTAGAAAGATATCACCTAATTTTATGTAGATATTGATCTTTCACAATTGAATACACTTCTTGAATTTCTTTCTTTAAGAGCTCATGTTCTATCTTTGTACTTCTTGGTTTTTCAGAAAAATCCTTTGATCAGCCTTGATTCTGGTTTTTGAAAGTAATCTGTTTTTTTCTTCTAATGTTCTTTTTCCAAAAGATTTTCTAATTTTTTTCTTTTAATTTCATAAAAGACAATTATTTAAAGTACAAGACATCATTTAGTTATAAAGAGTAATAACAGAGGTAATTTATTAACTGATATGGTAATCTGTTACCAGCTCTTTAAAATTAAACCAGGAACTTAAAACTACTAGGGTAATCAATAACGAGATATGGTAATCGATTATCCCGAGCTTTTTAAGACCCAAAATTGAGTTTCATTTTGTGGTAATCGATTATCTTGTGTGGTAATTGATTATCCTGATAAAAACTTTGATTCTTTAGTCTTGTTTCAAGCATGGGAGTCTGTTTTAATCTATTACCAACTTTGGTAATCTGTTACCTCAGAAAGCATTTGAAAATCATTTTTTAGTAACAGACTTGGTAATCTATTGACATAGAGGGACATTTGAATATCCTTTTCTAGTAACAAACTTGGTAATCTATTACCCTAAATGGTAATTGATTAACAATGTTACCTTGAAAACTCTTGTTTGAATCAAGTCATATTTCTATGTTTAAACACTCGGTAGTAAATTATCTTTTCATGATAATCTATTACTTTATGTTTATACATGGAAATACTAAAAAATCAAATTCTTGGTTTCTTAAAAAACTTGATTAGTTCTTGAATTAAGCCTTAATCATCATCATCAAACATAAACAAACACACACAAGCCTATATCTATTACAATCAATACAATATCCTTTTGTATATGTTTAAGCGACATCTATATAATACATATCATCAAAAATAAAACAATCTTGAGGATTCTTCAATATGTCTCATCATCTCCATCATCTCAATAATATGGGATGGTTTACCCTTAGGTGTTTGATCTTAAGAATGTTTTGAGGTATCTATATTATTGCTAAAGAAGGAAAAATCATGAGAAGGGACTATTGGGAATAAGTTACGATATGAGATAATTGTTAACAACTTGAAGTGTTTTGGTGATAGCAATACCTAAGCATTTAATGTGTGATAGTGATACAATTGCTAGATTAGTTAAGTTATTGATTTAAACTCTTAGTGACATTGATCTTTTAGTGACTATGATCAAGGTGTTAACATATGATTAAACAATCTCATAATGATTATTTTTAAAGGTGTATCGAGTGATGTTGTGTAATCATTGTACTACTTAATGTTGATATCTGGTTGTAATATATGTGTGAGTATGTCATTGATATGATATATTATGAGCTATGTATGAATTGATTGACATGCTTTGACATTGATATAATTGATGTGTATGGATCTTGAGGGTCATATGATGAGAAGTCTAAGCAAGGCTTAGCTATGATATAATATGATAAGACGCGTGATTTGTTATGGTACGAGATCATGTGAAATGTTATGCATAGAGTCTATTTGACATGCATCATTTGGATAAAAAGTGTTTTTTTAAGGTACGATATGAAATACACTAACAGGGAAGGTCCTTTGTATAAAAGCTTGGGAACCAACCTTGGGGATAACTTGGTTTGGAAGTCTCAATCCTACTCTTGCGTGCATGGGATGTATCTTGCATTGCTTAGTTATCCCAACCAAACCTTGATAGTATGTCCTTCTAGCGAGAGTGCAGAGAGGGTGTGACCCGACATGTACTCCTAGCAAGAAATAACCTTAGTTTTGGTTCAACCATTTCACCAAACACCTTTAGGCAACACTAAAACCAAAAAAATGAACTAATGACACTTTTCATCATCCCCAAAACAACAACACAAACATTTATATTCAGTTAATACAAAATACAAACAATTAACAAAATGTGATATAATGTGAAAATGTTTTAGCAATACATAAGATTTGTTGGAGGTATTGTGACAAAATTCAATTAGGGAGACATATATGATCATCTATCATGATTTTAGGTGTTTTATAGTTGGGATCTCCTCATCCACATGTTTAGAATGGAGTACCTATGAGCGACTATGAAACCCTAATTTGACTTGATTGGATATTCAAACTAGTTGAATGGGAACAATGGATACCCATAGTGTGTTGATTCATTATTTATTCCTAGATTATCTATCCAAGATTGAGTTTAAGGCTTACCTGTCTATGGAATTCTTGAAAAAAAAATTGTTTGAGTTAAGAAGTTGAATTATGATTTTGTACTTTCTTATGAGAATGTGATGTTATGATTGAGTTGTATGTATGATTGATGTAACATTGAGAATTGTGGTTATGAGTCTATGAGTTTTTGTAGTTCCTATAGGAAATCTCTAGTTTATAGAGAAAAGTGAAGATTGATGTTAATTGCATGAATATGTGAAATTAATGTTGAATTTGGGTAATTGATGACTTAACTGTGTAGTAGTAAGTTGTAATTTGACATCTTATCAATTGAATTGGATTGAAGGAGTTAAGGAATATAAGACGCCAAGTTTTGTAAAATTATTAAAAGGATAGTTTGATTAATTAGAAGGGTTTTATAAAATATTTTAGAGACTTTTAATAATTATGAGCGTTTTCAATAAATGTTTATGAAATTGTTTTGTATAATATTTATTGGAGATATATGTGTTTTTATGATATTTTATTTTAATAAGTATTTCTAGAAAAATATGTGTTTTATTATAATTATTTTATGTATTTTATTTATAATTGGGTTGGGATAAATATGTTTATTATATGATTTTATTAATTGCTTTATTTTATTATGTTGAGGGAAGGAAAATAGAACTATGATTAAATGTTTTAACTGATTGGGTTAAGAGATGGGATAAGGTTTTTTTTTTTTTTTTTTAAAAGAAGAAGGTTATGTTAGTTTCCTTTCTCACTACTTCTCATGTTTATGCTTTACACTCTAAAGAACTCAGAGCCAAAAACTCAAGCAGATCATCTCGGAGATCCACACCTTTCGCCTAACATTCATCAAGGTACATGAGAGTGAGTAATCTTGATCTTAGTGTGGATAATTGTTAGGTAGTGAGATTGATCATAATTCTCCTTTATGTTGTATGTGTTGTAATAGGGGAAATCCAATTTGTATCTATTGCTTAAATTTTGTTTTCTATATAATTCTTCATTGCTCTAATTCATGTCAAAACCCTAAAGAAATGAATTTTTCATGATTGTATGAGAAGTTGGTGAGTAAGTAATTATGTGTGTTATATGTGGTGTTTGAATTATATATATATATATATATATATATATATGTATATTATATAATTAATTAATTTCATGTAATTTAAATTGTTTGAGAATCTTTGAATATCTATATGAATCCCTTGTTATAGAGCAAAGTGAAGATTGATGTTAATTGCATAAATGTATGAATTTAAGTAGCTAATGGCATAATATAGAGTAGTATTAGGTTTTGATCTAATTTTTTTACCGATTGGATATGGAGAAGAGAGTTTGGGTGAGTTATGCCTTTTTCTAACAATTTTGGTATGAATACACCTTGATATTTATGTGATTTCCCAATGTGTGATTAATAAAATTGAGTTATGATTATTGGGTTAGAAAGTATATATTTGAGGCAACAATTTAAATTCAAGAATCACATAAAAATATTAAGGAATGACCAAGTTATGCATATATTGTAAGCCTTTCGAACAAACTTAAATGACAAAATTTGGTTTTGAAAGCTACATGAAAGTTGTAGCCCATGTTAGGTTTCAAATTCCGTTGAAATCACTTAAATAATGAGGTCTAGAATTCGAGTTATGATTAAATTAGTGAGATGTATTCTCACTCTTTATTGTTGTGTTGTCTTTCTTACTTAGGCTGAACGTCACTTACAAGTGTAAATCAGGTAAATGAGTTTCAACCAATGGGAGACGAAACTTAAGCTTCAATTTTATGGAATTGTTGTGATGTGTCAATAGAGTTTAGAAGACTAGCTAATTTATTTTCCTTTTGTTTATGGCGACTTATGAGAACCTTGGTTTTGTTTTAAAGTTTGTTTTACATGCAAAGTCTTTAGCTTTTAGATTTTCTTTTGAGAACCTGTAGAGGCGATTTTGATATGAAAACATACTTATTTCAGAATTCATTTTATTATTGAAATACTTGAGTTTATATAGTAAAGTACAAGACGTGAACCCATTTATCTTATGCACGAGATTTTGTCTTACAAAGCTTCTTATTTTATTAAAATGTTTTGGGATACAAGGATACATGACCCGTGCTCATACAATTAATTAAGTATACACTAATGAATCAATGCAACAATTAATTGTTTATCTATGATATATTATTACTTTAAGTCGATAATATGGAAAATTGGTGTTGTGTAGAATGCTATTAATTTTCATTGTCATACAAGAACCATATCTCATTCAGTCTATTGAACAACTCGAAAGGGGCATTGTATTGTGCCATTGTGTAACTTTTGGGAACTTTAGAAGACCACTTAGTGCCAGCAATACTAGCATTCAAGGCAGCAACTTGCTCTGCAATGTTAGAATCTGTGACAAATCCATCAAACTGTCTAACTACTGCATATTTAGTATTCCATCTTTGAATAGAGACATCATCTGCTGTAGGTGGATTTGCTTGGTTCTCTTTGGAAACATAGAAGCTCACAACAATTGAGGACTTTCCACCGTTAACTGATACTTCACTTGCCACAGGTGCTGTCATCTTTATTTGCTTCTTCTCCTTGTTGTTACCTAAAATATAACTAAATAGCCTATGAAAAAACAAAAATGATTAATCATGATTATACCAAAGCTAAATTGGACTATATAATTTCACTTGGTTTTAGGATCTCTTGGATTAATTCTCTTCTAAACTTTTTTTTTATTTTTCAAATTACTCTTTAAAACAATTTTACACTATTTAGTAATTAATTTTTCATCCGAAAATATATTAAAAAAAGAATAAAGTATACCTCACAAAGCCTAATCTTGTAGCATTAACAAAAGAAGTGTCTTGAGGGTTGTTTGAAATCCACACAGGTGAATTATAACGACGGATTTCGTAGTCCTTCTCCACTTGTATGACATCATAGGTTGGACACTCATAACGTTTGCATGAGTCAGAAATTATACCTTCAACACCCAATAATGAAACTAAGAGGAGGCTCAAGAGAACTGAGAATTGAATTGTGCAAGTACTAACCATGGTCATAGTTGCTGAATGGTAGTATAGAGCAAAGAGGCAAACCAATTAATTTATATAATGTCTGTTCTTCGATGCCCAATAAAATGAATTTAATATCCACTCTAAAAGTGAACACATTTACGAATTATCAAAATCAATATAATTGAACTAGATCTCCATTTTACATTATTGTACAAGTTTTTTTTCCCTTCTTTTTTTGTACAATTACCATAAAAAAAGTTAATACGCATATTAAAGATAACACTCCTTCCGTACGTGCTGATTATTATTATTTTTTTTTCCTTTTGGGGGCATTAAGTAGAGGAAATTTTTTTTATTTTTCTGAGAATCTAACATTGACTCCTTCCATGCTATTTTTTTTTCCTTTGGGGGCATTTAGTAAAGAATCGAAAAAGAATTTTATTTTTTTCAAGAATCTATCGAGAATGTTAGAGGTGTATTGGATTAGTTTTTATTTTTTTAACAATCAAATATTGAGAGTGTTAAAAGTATATTGGATTGACAAATAATTTTAAAAGAATATTTTATTATCAAAAAATCTTGTAATATTTAATTAATATTTTTTTTAATATAAAAAATATTATGTCGTATATTTAATTAAGATAATTAAGATTTCTTTTAAGAGTATATCAAAATTTGATAGTGTTCAATTAAGGTAATCACTATTTTTTTTAAGAGTACGCTAAAATTTGGTGGTATTTGATTAAAAAAAACTCACTTAAAAAAAGTTTGTTGATACTAAAAAAACATAAAGATTTCAAATGGATTATTTTTATGGATGGATGGGACTTTGCGATATTTTTTTAGTAGAATTTATATATAATTTAATCATATAATAATCTAACAAAAAACGTTGAGATTTCGCATTTTTTTTCCTTATTTAATTCTCTTGTCTTTTTCTTGTATTTTTTGCTTCTCTCTCTTTTTCCTCACTCTCTTTGTCATATCTCTCTTTCTCGTCTCTCTCCTTCCCATCTCATATTTTATGTCTCTCTATCTCTATCTCATATTCTCTTTCATTTTTTGTTAATCTCTCTCAATTTTTTGTTTTCTTTATTTTATTTCTTATCTTTTTTTCTTATCTATCAATATTGATGTATAATTTATCAATATATTTTTTTAGTTATAAAATACTTTAAATTACTTATGAATAACAATATTATATTTTGTTAAAATTTTTAAATTATTGAAATTAAAAAATTCAATAAAAATTAATATTTGATATCAATTCTTTTAAATATATTAAAAATATAATTTGACAATTCTACAAGTTAATGGATATCATAAATTTAGTTTGAATGAGAAAATATAAATGTATAGAGGGTTGTATAGTAGAACCAGAATGGAAAAACCTATCCAGAGAACAATTAATCAATACTGTTTTCCCCAAAGATACTCATTATCAAAATTTCCTTAAATCTAGAATTTTTTATGAATTTATCCTAGTAGATACAGAATCCATAGACTTATTTCATTCTAGAGATAAAGAAAGCAATATCATTTGCTCCAAAGCAAAAATTCTTAAAATTATGACTCCTGAAGAATGGGGACAACCCATTTATCAACCAAAATCCTTCTCCAGACAGTTCCAACCCCAAACTTACACCTATTATGATTATACTATGGCATAGACCTACATGCTATATCTTAAACCCAAAACACATTCTTGGTTCTTTTGGTTCCGTAGAGGAATATCATTAAAATTCCCCAAATGGTTTCTTCAGTGGTTCTACACATGGGGACCCATCAGAGAATTATTTCCTCAAGAAGTCTCAGAAAATTTTGATTATTTCAAAGAAGTTACCACTTTTCTGCCAAATTACAAAATGATTACTTTTGTTGCCTCTCAAAATATCACCTGGATTGTCACTTGGGATTACATATTCAGACAACCTTATGAAAATGTTCCATTAAAAATTCTCTCAAGATGTATAAAAGTTAAATGGTGGAATATGTTCGATATGAATCTTATTAGCAAGGCAAGAATTAAAGAGTGGGTTCAAAATAATTCTCCAGCAATTATGACCCAAGAAAACAAGAAAAGAATTTCCAGAGATTCTCAGTTTTTGGCTGAAAAAAGCAAAATTATGGCAGAATTAGCCTCAGCATCATCACAAGAAGAGTTTGAAGAAAGACTCCGACTAGTTCGGGCTCTCCAAGACACCGAAGCCCAAGAAGAAACTGGTTCTTCAGATTCAGTTTCCACAAACCCATATCTTCGAAATGAAGATATGTATTATTGATACCTTCAAGATTAACAAGACATCTGTTTGGCTCAGATTTTGCCAACACTCTCAATAAAGTTAGAGGTCAAAAAGCAAAGCTCCATTAAACTTAGACAAAATAATTACTTCAAGACAAATTAAGTCCTATCATATCAAATCAGGATAACAGTTGCGCAAGAAGACAAAAAACTTTTGAAGATATCTTATCTTCTGATAACCCTACTGTGTAAATTATTGTACTAATTTTAGCTTTCCTAGTTTACCCTAAAATAAAGTAGTGAGTCACTACCCTTGTATGAAATTTAGTGTGCTTTAAGATTTCTATATAAGGAGACCATCTCTTCTATTGTAAATCATCGAGTGAAATAGACTATCAAGTTTCTTTCAATTTCATCTCCGCTTGCAACTCTCTGATTTTGTAAGTTTTCTATAATGATTATTTTCTTTGAACATGGTCATGTATATATTACGCATTCAAATTTTCCAGTATTTCATATAACGATTTATGTATATAATTATGAAGATAGCACTGAGCATATTTATACTGTTACTTAATTAATAATAATAATAATAATAATAATGATGATAATAATAATAATAATAATAATAAATATGATAATAATAATAATAATAATTCTCCGTAATATCATGTCCTTCTAAATAATATTCACCCACATATCCATAGCTATACTAGTCCTCCAAATATTAACATTTTTTCACTCTTGCTCGTGGGTTTTAATAATAGGCTGAAAAATTATGATTTTCATTAACTAGTAATGTTGAAGATAAAAGTTTGTCCACCACTCCAATTGAAAATTCATCAAAATGACATTCTTTACGAAGAAAGTTATGTAGTGTTATATATGCTAGAAATTATTCTAAACGACATTTCTAATTTTTTATAATTTGTGAATTAAAATATTTTATTTATAAATTTATAAATGATTAAAAATAATAGTAGGACAACTACCCTACTCGCTTATAACTAAATATGTCCCTTCATTTTATATTGGTACTGAAGTAGAAATTTACAAATATCAACTAGGAGAAAAAAAAATCTAAAATTTGTTACAGGTATAAAATATTTTTTTTAATTTTTTAATTGCGTTCAATTATTCACTTGTGAAGAAATATATTTAGTATTGAATTCTAAGATATTTTAATGTCTTATGTTAATTTTCTTTTTAAAATATAAAAAATCCTAATTTCATAATATAAAAACTAAAAAACTAAAATTCATAGTAAAAAAAAAGAAATAAAATAATTGTTGAGTTATAAAATGGGAAGGATAACATTAACAAATTCAAAAAAGGGAGAAAGATCGCAATTTTTGTACTAAGAGGGTTCTTTCCCCAACTAAGATTCATTCTTATCTCATTCTACTCAGAGAAACCCTAATTCAAAATCATCTTATATATATATATATATATATATACATATTGTTCTAATGAATCTAAATTGATTACAAGGTCTTGAAGATCTAGAGTTGATCATGATATCAATTTTTGTTTTCACCTTTTCCTTTTCTTGACGCATGTTATAAAAAAAATATTACAGTTGAAATTTTAAGCGTTTTATGTGTTATCTAATTGAGGAACAATCTCAATTAAATAGAGAAAGTTAATTAAAGAGAACAAAGAAAAAAATAGAGCAAGTCAATGATACTATCATTTACGTATAGAAGTTTCACCAAATAGGGGAATAGAATGAGAATGGTAGTACAATATTATATATGAGCAGTAGTGCAATATTATTAGCAAGAGAAAAAATGGAGAAGACATGAGCATAGAAAAAAAAAAGATGAAAAATTCACTTAGAATTTTTTGAAGCACTTGAAAAGTCACTTAATTTGAAAAACTCACTTGGAAATTCTTAAAGCACTTGAAAAGTCACTTCAAACAATCCTCCAAAATTTATGGGTTTGGATAGAGTTATTTTATGAATTTGGTATTTATAGATACCACTAAAAAGTCTTTCAAAACCCCTCTAATACAACAATCTTTTAAAATCTCTATATTTTTAAATACCAATGGATTGTTTTTAAGTTGTAAAATGTTTCAAATGAATACCAATGGATTTTAATAGACTATTTAAAAAAATATTTAAAATCCAAATTGAATACTACTGAATTATTTTTAAGTGACATAAAATTTTGATCGAATACCAACAAATTTTTTTACTAAAAAAAAAATCTTTTAAATTTCTATGAAATTCTAAACTAATACACCCCCTAAATAATCTAACTATCATGATTTAATTAGCCATTCAAAATGCATGATTCAGGTTTAATTAAGGTTTGTATTTATAATGTGTGATTGTGATTCCCTAGGAGTTCTATTAATCACAACGCCACCAAAATTTCAATATATAAGTGCATTTCCTTCGAAGTTAAGTAGAATCCTGGTGCAGCTGAAAATAATAACACATTTTTATTAAATATTTATAAATTTTATCAATAACTCTTATCCAAAAATTAAACTTATCACTTTTAATAGAATCTCTCTTTTTAGTTATATTTTTTTTTTTTATACACAAAATTTAAATACGAGACTTTAGTTCCAGTTCAGTATTACTTAAACTAACAACTTGATAAATAATAACTCATCCAAGTAGGGTTGTGGAATTAATATCTGTCTATTATAAGATTAATCTTATATTAATCAAATCCTGTTAAAATTATGAAAACTAAAGAAAATGATTATTTCTTGAGCTAATTTTTGTATTCAATTTTAAAGATTTTTTAAATCAAAATTAAAGTTCATGCACATAATTTTTTATCGATTAAAATTATCACTTGACCTATACAATTTAGTCTATTGTAAGATTAATCATAAATGAAGAAAATTGTTTTGTCGAGCGTTTCTCCAAATGTACATAATCAAGATTATGTACTGAGTCATTTCGACAAG